AGTAATTTTTATTTTTATTTTTACGTATGATTTCGTATATTACTTATTCATACTTATAAAAAAAAATTATTTATTTTGACTATAAAAAGGATATTATGATCAAAATAAATAATTTTCTCTAGATTCGATATTGACAATAAAAAAATATTTGTTAAAATTTATTTATTTATAAAGTAATCTATGTATAAGTATATTCTTGAAATCAAGCCAAAAATGGACATGAATTAAATTTAATTTCTTTGACCCTCGAAATTCTTAATTGGTTTTTCTCACTTTGATTGAGATTCTTCACTCAAATAATATTTCGAGATAATAACATATGGATTATAGTGATATATTATAAATTGCATGTTTCGATCAAGTTTTCAATTGTTTGNGATTGAGATTCTTCACTCAAATAATATTTCTAGATAATAACATATGGATTATAGTGATATATTATTGACTGCGTGTTTCAATTAGTCTTTCAGTTTTTTGGAAAGATTGGTTGTCAAAGTTACTAGAAGAGTACTCATTAAGTAATTTTTTAAAATTTTCATTGGTGAATATGTATTTTTGCTTATTTCTATCATGATTCAGTCAATTTATATTTTTTAAGGCAAGTGTCGATTTTCTATTTGGTAAAAAAAATACAAAGATTCAGTGAAATATCTTAATGTAGGATATCTAAACTTTTTTTAATTTCATTGAGTTTTGTATACTTTTCAAAAGTGCGTTTTAGAATATTGAGAAATATATAGTAGGATCTTGAATCTTATATAGACAATATGTAGGAAACTTGTAGTAATAGTAATATTTGTAAATATCTAAATAAAATGATCTAGAAGATGAATATCGACCATCATAGAGAAACGATCTCTACTGTCCATCTGAAGAAGGTGGAGCTATAAAAGGCCAATAAGCCTCATTTATAGAGTAGGGTAGTGTGACTTAACTATAAAGTGCTACAAATGTTTTTTTTCTCCCTATTCGTCAAAAAATGTAGACTGAACTTGAGTTAAATTGAGAGAAAATTGCAAAAAAGTCCACTTTCACGTTGTCATTTACAAAAATATCCCAAATTTGTTACAAGTCCATTTTGATAAAATTTAAACCAAAATGCCCATAGTAACAATTTGAAATTTCACAAGAAACACAAAAATTTTCATATAATTAAAAATTGTGTTGGCAAATAGAAACTTGACATATAACATATACTACATATTTGAAAAAGTACTAATGTGTATTAAAAAGAGGAATCCAGAGAATGCACGAAGGAGAGCTGAAGTAAATGTGAGTTTTCTTGTTCTACAATGCGTGGTTTTATTGTTGCATATGTGAAAATATCATGATGGTACTATATGATCAATGAATGTATTTGTGAAGGAGAGGGAGAGAAAGTTGAGAAAGATGGAAAGAAAGAAGGGTGTTTCTGCTGCAAGTCAAGTCAATGAGAACACGAATGTTTGTGAAATCACGCAAAGTCCTGAAAGTCAAACGAAAAATGTAATGCAGACGAACTTTGAGGCGGTAACAACTGCCAAAGATCTTCAAAAATAAGCAAGATGATGTATAATATCCCTCCATCAATTGTTCCCAATCGAAACAAGAAAAAGTTGCAACATTGGGACATGGCTAATATTGGCATGTAGCCATGCCTCATCGTGGTTGCTCC